TGTATGTCTTCTAAACAAAGACTCTGACATGAAACAACTCCAGGGTTATTATTCAGTGTGAATAGTCTGAACAGTATCTTTGGTGCAAGAGAAAGGGGATAATTATTTAGAGTTGGTCATATACTTAAAATTCCTAAGTGAGATTAGATTAAGTTCATTTCCCCACAACAGCTACAAAGTAGCTCTCCATAACATTATTCATGAAGCAAAACACTGTAAACAAGGCCAGGTGTGGCAGTGGATGCCTATAATCCCAGCTCCTTGGGAGACAGACATAGGAAGATTGTGGTTTGAGGGCAACCCTGGGTGAAAGTTACTGAGAGAGACCCTATCTCAAAAATAAGTTGGGCATGGTGGTGCATAGTGGTTCCAGCTACTCACAGGCAGAGGTAGGAGAATCATGGTCCAAGGCCAGCCTGGGCAAAAGTGCAAGACTCTGTCTGAAAAACAGAAAGCAAAAGGACTGGGAGCATGGCTCAAGTGGTAGAGTACTTTCAAATAGTGACACAGCAAGTGCAAGGCCCTGAGTTCAATTCCCAGTACCTCCAAAGTGAAAAAAACAAAACAAAATGACAATAACAAAAACCCACTGGAAACAATGCACAAGTCCTAGCCAGGCACTGGTGACTCATGCTTGTAATCATAGCTACTCAGGAGGCAGAGATAAGGAGGATCTAGGTTCGAAGCCAGCCTGGGCAAATAAATCGTGAGGTCCTTTCTTGAAAAACCCTTCACAAAAATAGGGCTGGTGAAATGCCCTGAGCTCAAGCCCCAGTACCACAAAAAAAAAAAAAAAAAAAAAAAAAGTCCTATAATAGGAGGGTAGTAGTCAAACTATGATAATTAATGCAGTAAAAGATTATTTAGCTACTGAAAAACACCTTTCGTAGTGAGTTTGGAATGACTAATGCATTTTGCTTAAATAAATATATGACTAAAATCTCATCCGTGATATGAATTCAATGTAGAGACACTCAGGGAAAAATCATAAGGTTATCTAAATAGTGCTCAAGACAGACTTCAACATCAGTGATATTCTCCAGGATAATTTAGTCAAACATCTATCATTGAGCAAAACAACACTACAAGAGAGGAGCTGAGAAATGGGCGTGGGGAGAGTCTCGGAACAAGGGACATTGCTGTACAAAGACAGGAGATCATTTTGATGTTCCATTTATGGAAAATCAGAATCGTAGTGTCTCAGTTCTTAGGGACATCGCAAGAAATGGAGGAGAGGTTCAGGGGAAAGGGCGCTAAAGAAACATCACGTAAGTGATTTGAAGAGTCGTCTAAGGTGAGTGATGCCTTTCGTAGTCTCTAAAGCTGAATGACTGCCTTTCATTTTGTTCCTGTTTTGAGACAGCGTTCATGCTATGTAGCTCAGACTTGCAGCTCTTCTGCCTCCAGCCTCCTGAGCTGGAATTACAGATGGCATTATCACACCCAACTAGCTTTCAGATTTTGTCAACTCTCTCTTAGTTGGGTGTGAAACAATGTATAGCTGCATCTTATTACTTTGTTGAGAGGCTTGTTATTTCTCTGAGAAGCCAGTTGTTTCCCACACCTCTGTAGATGTCTGCTTGTAAAGTGTCTCTCTCATCCAAAATGAGGTCATCTCTGTCACTGCTCCCTTACACTACTTGGGAGGTGGAGGCAGGTGGCCCACACATGCAAAGTTACTGAGACCCTATCTCAAAATGAAAAAGAAAACAAAAGGACTGAGGGCATAGTTCAAGTAGTAGAGTGCTTGCCTACCAAGTTCAAGGCCCTGGGTTCAGGAGGAGAATGTAGAAGAACTTGGCTGTATTCTCAGACATCACTGGGGGAAAAATAAAGAGCAAAGAAGGCAGACACAAGTGAGCCTCTTGCATGAATCAATAAGTGGGCTAGATAAATCTCTTGGAGAAAAAAGCAGCACAGGTCTAAAATAACTTCTACACATGGACACTGAGGCTGGCGTTGTATGAGAAAATAAGTAGGGTAACTGCCATGCCAATGTGAGGAGAGCTGAGCTCAAATAGAACACCAGGAGCCCTCAGTGTATACATTTTCTTTCTCTAACTCTTATTTGTTTGGAAGCATGGGAAAATAAACAGCCTCCCCAGACAAAAGGATTTTGAAGGGGTATATTCTAATCCTTGAAGGAAGAAGGTGCAAGAAGACAAGTGAGGGTAAAGCCATGGGAAAAGGCACACTTTGGCTCAAGAATGGAGAGAAAGTACAGTGAAACCAGAAGTCTAACAGTTTAATATTAAATGATGAGGCATAAAATATTATGCCTATAAATGCCTAATAATTACTTATAACTTAGTCTTCAAAAAGATAATTTTCTGAGTTAAGATCTCTCCTTTTTTTTTTTTTTCTTTTGTAGGCAAAACTTCCTAGAGTATTCTAGATGCTTCCAGCCACTGCCTGTGGCTGGCTGCCTGGATGCCAGGGGCTCTCCTTTTCCTTTAGTATCTGTTACTCAGCTGCAGGCACTTTCTTGCTCCCTGAGCTGAGTGGAAACTTTGAAAGGTCTGCACTTTTGTAAATAAAATGGAATTTGTATGGTAGGACACTTGAGAATTTGGATTTGACTTCACAGGACAGTTTTCAATAAAATAAAAGATCAAGTGCTCATGAGGTTAAATTTCAGGAAAGTGCTCTTGGATCCAAGATAAAGGCGGGGTGTAAACCGAAAACAAAAGCAGCCCCGAGTGAGAAAGGCCCCTGATTTTCTGCTCTGTACTCGAGAGTGCTCCTCTCTGCTGGATGAAACAGGTTGGTTCCTTCTTTCTTTTCGCATTCTGACTTGAATATGATTTTTTTTTAAGCTCAAAGATTTAAAAAAATCTTTTTTTTATACAGATTTCTGTATTTTTACCTATAGAGAGGGAGACCTGATGCACAAAAGTTTAAATATTTATTTATATGAACAGAAAGAGCAATTTAAAAACAGCTGTACACTTTGACATTAAAATGGAAATCTGAATTTAGCAAGAAGACAATATGATTTTCAATATTTGTAAAACTTTGTCAATGAGCAATGAGGTTTTGCTCTACCATTTTTCTGCTTTCTTTTTATAAACAATACTTTTTGTTGTTAGAGTAATTATAAAAGCACGTCTTTATATATATATTTCTGAGAAGGATAATTTCTACAAATAATTTCCATTTCTACTGTTATTTACTCACGTTATTTGTAAGATGAATCCTACTTTAAAATACCCTTCCCTAATATTTTATATTTGGGCATATTATTCTTTATCATCAGGTTCAAGATTCTATCATGATAGCAAAGACAAGAACAAAGTTCACATCTTGTTAATAATTAATGCATAAAAAAAGCTAGAGACCATAGTCTTCTTCCAGACTGGAACTTTTTAAGTAACCTTAATGACAAAAATAGTCATTTTAAATTGTTGGTCCTTGGCTTTTGTATAAGAAAAACAATTCTGTATGTGGTGTCTCTCCTCAAGGGGTTCACCTGGACTTTGCCTGACTCATTTGGAAAAAGGTTAGTGAGTTTAAGTCTGTCTTGAAAATGAGTAAGTTAGCATGCTGTTTTGAAAATATTATTTTCATGATCGATTCTGTAAGATTACTTGAGATTCTTCAACAGACAAAAATAACCAAAGGAAGTAGAAAAACTAAGGAAAAATAAGACAAAATTCAGTACTACAATAAAAACTTTGAAAGTCATATTATTTAGTTTAGAGTTTGCAAATTCTGTGCAACCTTTACTTAGTACTATGAGGGGGTGCTGTTAATCAATACACTGCAGCCACTTAATGTTGAGGCAGGAACTTTGGGGGCTTCCTGGCATATCGTCTGTCTATTCTAGAGCAACAACTGCTGGCAAAACCTTCGGTTTCTCAAATATTTATTGAGCAGCTAATGTGTGCCAGCTATGTCAGTAAGGTTTTAACTACAATCACAAACCAAGCAGCTCATACTTTAGGGAAACTGAAAGCCTAGGACCAGGTAGTCCAGGATATGCATCTTTTCCATTCAGAAAGGCTCTGGGAGACAACATCCAAGTAAATTAAGAACTGGCTTTTCACAGGAAGGGCAGGAAATAGTGCTGGATAAAGGAACAGAATGAGCAAAGAGGTCGACAGGTGTGGCACGCTGCATGCCAGGTAGCTATCTGCTGGCACATCAGCATATCACTGTGGTGGGCAGCACAGAGCAGAGGTGGCTGGAGCTGTGAAGAGCACCACATGGCAGAGGGAGCCTTGACTATCATGCTAAGGAGGCTGCAATATGTCTTTTCGAGGAAGGTGTGTTTCCCATGTAAGGAGCTAAGCAGGGGAGACAGAACACTCTGTGGCAATACGACTTTTTTTTTTTTTTCCACAGTGCTGGGGTTTGAACTTAGAGTCTTGGGTGAGCACTTTACCACTGAGCTTTATTGCTTTAGCTGTTTTTCAGATAGGGTTTTGTGCTTTTGCCTGGGGCCAACCTCAGCCTAGATCTCTGCCTCTCAAGTAGCTGGGATTACAGACATGCACCACCACACATAGCCCAAGAAAAATGTTTTAGACAAGGAGGTGTCAGGAGAATTCCAGATAAGCAGAGAATGCAATAGATAGAGCAGGGGAGAAACATGAGAGCCAGAGAGTCCAGACTGGATTGAGGAGACATATTTAAGACCTATCTGAAAGGGAAAATCAGGACTTATGGACTGATTGGCAAGGATGAAGGTAAGAGAGGAGTCAGGGATGGTGTGGGCTTACAGCCTAGACAACCAGGTGACAATGGTGCTATCAAATAATAATACACAATAAGTAAGTGGTGACAGATTTTGGAGAGATGTTGACTAAAAATAGGTTTTGTTTTATAAACTAGTAAGACCCAAGATAAATGCTACACTGAACTTATTTAACATATTCAAATTAAACTTAGAAATAGCACAGCAATGAAAAATTAAAGTACATTTATTTTTAAAAATAAAACAATTTTAATTTTTAATTTATTGTAGATACAGTCCATGAGACTAAGTTATGTAGGCAAAAATTAGAACTGATTAAATCTGACTAAACTTTCATACCTTAAAAAAGATCTTTACATAAAAGCTTTCAATCTATTTAGGACTTAATGATTAAGAAAATTCAGGGTACTGTTTTTCAACCCTGTGCAAATCCCAGTTCCTATGTGCAGACTTGTCAAAATAAAGGATGGGTACTTAATCTTGGGGATCTACTTCAATACAGAACCTTTGAAAACTTTTTAAAGAGTGGCAGATTTGGGCTCACATATGTTACAGCAACAATCTATTCTCTAGCAAAAGCACAAAACACATGCTGGGCAAAAACTCATTCCTTTGAAGCAATATTAAAATTGGTGTCTTGTATTCTTTCTGCCATGTAGATCGGAGCCATGGCTTTGGAGCATAACCAGTCAACAGATTACTATTACGAGGAGAATGACTTGAACGACACTCATGACTACAGCCAGTATGAAATGATATGCATAAAAGAAGAGGTCAGACAATTTGCAAAAGTTTTTCTCCCTGCCTTCTTTGCAATAGCTTTTGTCATTGGACTTGCAGGTAATTCCATAGTGGTGGCAATTTATGCCTATTACAAGAAACAGAGAACCAAAACAGATGTGTACATCCTGAATTTGGCTGTGGCAGATTTACTCCTTCTGTTCACTCTGCCTTTTTGGGCAGTCAATGCCGTTCATGGGTGGATTTTAGGAAAAGCGATGTGCAAAGTGACTTCAGCCTTGTACACAGTGAACTTTGTCTCTGGAATGCAGTTTCTGGCTTGCATTAGCATAGACAGATACTGGGCAGTAACTAAGGCGCCCAGCCAATCAGGAGTGGGGAGACCTTGCTGGATCATTTGTTGTTGTGTCTGGATGGCTGCCATCTTGCTGAGTACACCCCAGCTGTTTTTTTATACAGTAAATGACAACAGCAGGTGCATTCCCATCTTTCCCCACCACCTAGGCGCATCCATGAAAGCATCGATTCAAATACTGGAAATCTGCATCGGATTTGTAGTCCCCTTTCTGATTATGGGGGTATGCTACTTTATCACAGCATGGACACTCATCAAGATGCCAAATATTAAAAAATCTCGGCCCCTCAAAGTTCTGCTCACAGTGGTTATCGTTTTCATCATCACTCAGCTGCCTTATAACATTGTCAAGTTCTGCCAAGCCATAGACACCATCTACTCCCTGATCACCAGCTGTGACGTGAGCAAACGCATGGACGTGGCCATCCAAGTCACCGAGAGCATTGCACTCTTTCACAGCTGCCTCAACCCCATCCTCTACGTTTTTATGGGAGCCTCTTTCAAAAACTATATTATGAAAGTAGCCAAGAAATATGGATCCTGGAGACGACAGAGACAAAACATGGAGGAAATTCCTTTTGATTCTGAGGGTCCTACAGAGCCAACCAGTTCTTTTAGCATTTAACTCTAAAACTGCTCTGCCTTTTGCTTGGATGCACATGAATGATGCTTCTTCCTTAGATTAAACATTTGCATTATTCTGAAGCTCAAATCTCAAATGCAGTTGCTATAACTTATAACAAAGAAGAGCTTGGGGGTGGGGGTGAAATGAAGGAAGACAGAAGCCAAGATGAGGAGACAATAAATGTAAAAACATGAGAATTAAATAAAATTAATAACAGGAAAATACTACTAACAGGCATAAACAAAGAAACTAGGCTATAAAGATCTTTGTGATGATGGAATAGGTTTATATCTTAGTTACACAAGGGTATGTACTTGATATAATGACATACAACTCTACACATTGTATCAGTTTCAACTTCCTGGTTTTGATATTATTCTAGAATTACCTAAGATAAACCACTGGGTTCATTCATGGGTGAAGGGTACCCACCATTACTCTGTACTATCTTTGTAACTTCCTGTGAACTTATAATAATTTCAAAACAAAAGTATTTTTTTAAATCACTATGCTATAAATTAGGTAATCTAAAACTGACTAATAAGGAGGTTATTTAGGGGGCATTTATAATTTTTTTAATTGTCCAAATTTTAATGTAAGAATTTTCCTGATAATGTTAATGCTTGAATAACTCTGCAGGTAAAAATCTATTTTTTTCTGTTTCATAATTTATAAGTAATTTTGTAAAATTGCAGAAAGAATAACAATTAATAAGTCCCCCCTACCTCGGCACCCTCCCAAAAGAAACAAACCACCCATAAGCTCTTCTGGTCCTTTTTCTGGTAAGTTTCTAAACACATAATTTGCTTCTATGATGTCAACTTTCTTTAATAATAAATAAGGAAAAGTATCCTAATATATGTGAGGTTTATTGTGTATATCCTAGAAGCAATCTTCAGATAATTTAGTTATCTAGATTCTAATTTTTATAACTTCCTAAATAACTCATCCATTGAACTGGAAATGTTAAGTGAAATAAGCCAGACTGAGAAAGACAAATTTAACATGTTCTCTCTCAAATGTGGAATGTAGAATTAAAAAATAAAATGAATGACATGAGTGTAAAACATGGGTGGGGTTTGGGGTGGACTGGTAGGGGGTGGGAACCAGAGAAAAGGAGGAAAGTGAAGGAGTGGGTAAAGGGGAGGGTGAGTATGATCAAAGTACTTCATTTGCACGAATGAAAATAGAAAAATGAAACCTATTAAAACTGTTTAAAAAGGGGAGGAGGTAAGGAAGAATAACAGAAGAGGTGACTTTGATCAAAGAGCATCATATGTATATATGGAAATACCACAATGAAACTCCGTTGTACAATTAATATTACCAATAAAAAGAGAGGAAAAAAAGAATATCCATTTCTGTGAGTTGATTACTGAGAGTTGACTAATATTTGATGTATATTTTTATTTTTCATTTAAACATGTATATTTTTACTAATTAAAACTATATACCACAATAAATTATTATTGTTTTTCTTATTATTACTGATGGGGCTTGGTATAGGCTAAGCAAATGCTCTACTACTGATCTAAACCCCAGATCCCACAATAAAGTATTTTTAATAACATGTACAGCTTATCTTTTTAAGTTGCTGTTCCTTTTACCCATTGCTGAATTTGAAAATGCTTTCAAAAGCAGAATTTAGAGAATTATGAAGATTATTAGTAACTATGAATCTTAGCATTATTGTAGCACAAAGGATTAAACTACTGAGTGAAAACATGATCATAAACACTCACCACTGCTCCACCATTTCTTGCCATTTATTATGTAGCTATCGCCATCTCGCTGGATAGCACATTCAATATTTGTAGCATCACTGGAAGCTATGTCAGGCTCTATAAATAAGCAAAGGCTGAATTTACAGGCAGGTAGATGTTAGTTTGCAAAAGACACGTAGGTAAGGGATGCAAACTCTTTGAGGACAGAGATATCCTTGTCTTTTCATCTTCCCATTCATCCACCATTCCACCCCGGTTCCCTCCCAACATATGCTTTTCAGGTATTTAATAAATGAGCATTAGAAGAAGGAGTGGATGAAGTCTACCAGACACTTGGGTTTAGCATTCTGAATTGTGCTCGTTTCCCTCATTGATGTGTGGCTTAGTATACCACTCACTCAGTCATTTCTCCAGTCACCAAAAGCAGATATGATATTGTTTTTCACTTTCCACAGTGAGAATCTGCACTAAATATTGGCAAGCTGGGTCCCCCTACCATCTAGTTTCTGTCTTAACAAATTTTAACTGTGCCTTACAAGTTCCATTGGGATGCTTTCTCAATCTACATATCTTGAATTTTTTGTAGCCTGTTCAACACTTAGGTCTCCAGAAAGGTTTCCAGGGATGCTCTTCAATGACCGCTTGACTGTATGGCATTTAGACCTACCTTGCTCTCGCACTCACCTGCACTTGTTTGTAGGCTTCCATTTTAAATGAGTCCTTCAGATATTTCTAAGACTTGACACTCAAGTTTTTAGAAATGGGACTGTGTACTTATTTTGTAACTATCAGTTGCTACTATGTAAATAATACATCCTACTGTAAGTGTTCTGCAAGTTCTCTTGCTGACTTAAGTATAAAGAACTTTGTTATTATAAATTGTTACAGAAAACCCTAAGATCTGGCTGTTAATGAAAGCACTTAAAATTATGGCCAAATCAAATTCAGTTTAATCCCAGATTCAACTATGAGACAATGATTTCTGTCTTTTAAAGGGTTCTTCATTGATGTTTCCTGCATACAAGCAGTACCAAAGCCACTTCTATTAACATGCTCCTAGTTTTATTTTCCTGCATCCTTAAAATTTGAGCCACATATCCACCATCAAGTTCTACTTTTCTAAGTTTATGGAACCGTTGAGCATTTTCTATCAATATAAAATGATCACAAAAATGAATACTTCATATATAAGGACAAAAACAATCTTAAATAGCCATGGATAGCAATTTTAGAAATGCAAGTTAACAGATTAAGAGACTAGGTTTACTCTGCTGCTAATGCTAAAGCAGGTAACCAGAAAACATTATCTGGTGTTGTCCCAAAGGGTAGGACAACTTTATTCTGTACATTTAAAAATAGCAATATTTAAAAACAGGCTCAAAACAAGCATATTCACATTTCAGGTGATGAGGAAATTTGACTAGCACACAGAGCCACATCCCATGCTGCTCAGCTGACCTACAATAACCCCAGGGAGGAGGCTGATTGGCCTTTACCTGTCATGCAGAAGGCAGAAGCAATGTCCCCTTGAAAAAGAGGCTCCAGCCACTGCTTCTTCTGTTTCTCACTTCCATACAGGTGCAGCACCTCCATGTTCCCTGAGTCTGCACATAAGAAGAAAAATCATTTGCTTTACATTAAGACTTAAGTCCACAACCTCCTGTAGATAATACAGACATGTATCTTCAAACGTCTGCTAACAAAAATATTCTGAAACGTATATTACATATGATTTATAATGATGGCAGGCCATAAGTAATCACAAGTGTATGGTGTTCTCTGTATATTTATCTGACTTGTTCTGAATCTCAGGCTAGTTTATTCCATGGCTTTAATGAGGTCTAACTCAATTCAGACTGCAATAAACAATTCACTGGTCTAAACCTTGCCTGTAAACCCTGTATGCTCTGCTGGGAGTGGGTGCACTGGTCCTGGAGATCAATTCACATCACAGCTCTTAAATCTCCTTGCTGTTCCTCCAACATGCCCTGTTCCTTCTGACTCCCGCACTTTTAATTGGACCAGGTCTTCTCTCTGAAAGTCTACCAGTTATTCATAAGTAAATTCCTGCTTATGAGACACCTTTTCTGCAAGCATCTCCAATGATCTCCTCTGAAATATCAACTTCCTCTGAACTCACATAGTAATTACTGTCTGTTTACTGCTAACATGGCTCTTACTTCGGTGCATACCACCTGGAAAAGTACTAGGTCCTCTGTCAAGCATGTGACAGAGTCCATGCCCTGGATAGAAAATAGCAGATCACTTCAAAGATCCCCTGCAACCCCTGGAGGGTGATGTTCAGTACATGATACACTGTGCTGTGTCCCTCAGCTGTAAAGATGCTTCATGCTCATCCTGGTGCCTTTCTCAGATTGCTACGCCTATAAAATTTCTCAAAATACTGTTTAAAATCTTTCTCTTGGATGCTGATCACTCAAGATTTTGAGGAAGGAAATTTCATTATCAACTCTTACCATGACTTTAAGGATAGTTGCTGGAATACCCATGCAAACTGAGTTAAGTCTAAGTTAAGTCTTGTTTGTGCTGTGTTCAAACCCTCCTTAGAAAATTAATGTTATACCAAGATGCACGAAGTTCCTTGTAGATGAACACAAGCCTAACATTCTTTGTAAGTGAGAGAGAAAAGAAGTCCTTGGTTATAATTAATGAAGTTCATTGTTTGCTTAAAATTCAGTGTTACTTGTTATAGTTAAGATAAATATTGAATAAAAACTTCCCAAATTATCAGTTTGAGAAGTTGGCAAAGTTAGCATTTATGGGGTGGAAAAATAAGCCCAGATATTTTTCATAAAATTTTTTCCATTCAAAAAAAAAATCATCCCAAATTCCACCCTCCCCCAAATTTTAATTTGGGATTAAAATTGCCATTTTCAACATTCAATGTACGATATTGTATGGCTTCTTGAGGGCACAAATAATAGGACAAATTGGAAGACACATATGTTTCCCGTAAGCTTTTCTAACTACAGTATTTGGGAAGTTACTTGGGTAGTTTAGATAGAAATTAATCCTCCTTACTTCAGAAACCTTCCAAACTATTTAATCAGCATTAGTTACATTCCTTTCTTTATCTGCTTTGAAACCCCTCCAAACACAATGTCCAAAACCTTCATGAAGATATCTTTAGTGCAGAAAGAAAACACCTAGTTTTCTGCATCCAGTTTTACACAACCTTATTTGCTTAAGAGAGTTGCTTAATCATTCCTCAAAGAAAATGAATTTCTCCAGTCAACTTTAAAACCTCAACAATTTTGTGATATCATTTATAGTATACCTGCTAGACCTGAGAAATTTTAATTCTAGGAAAAAGTATCCATTTAGTGGCAAGTGACTTCGAGGTTAAATGGAAAAATAGTGTCCAAGCTCTAGCTTATAAGAAAACCTTCAATAGCAAGATTTGTCATTAGTATATGGTATCTGTATTATTAGTGTATCATGAAACCAATTTAATGGAATATGGCTAGCATTCTCTAAAAAAGAAAATTTAAAAAACCCAATATATTAAACTGCCTCATGTAGTGAGGAAAAGCACTTTTTCATGAAACCTCTCTCTTGGTAATATTTAGTAATCTTTATCCATCCACCCATCTACCTATCATGAACCCACATGTACAATTGCATATGCTACATATTAAGTCACAACAAAAATTTATTCCTTACTATAAACAGCAGTTTAAAAAAGTCTTAAGCAGCAGGATACAGTGCTCATGCCTATAATCCTAGTTACTTGGGAGACAGACTGGCAGGAATGCAGTTCAAGGCCCGTCTGGGCAAAAATTTCTAGAAACCCCCATCTCAATCAATAACTGGGCATGGTGGCACATGCCTGTCATCCCAGCTATGCAAGGAAACATAAATAGGAGGATCATGGTCTAGCCTGGCCTGCGAGTAAAGTGAGACCTTCAGAATGGCTCAAGTGGTAGAGCATCTGTGGCTGGTCAGCAGGGAAATGACAGGGACTCACAGGGATCAGGGAGTGTGCCACGGCTAATTTGAAAACACCTCCTTCAGACTACATTCCAGGTTTACTCCGCCTTCCTCTGTCTTTCTGAGTTTTCACAAATAACCTTGGAGGCAACCTAGAGTCCCCCTTTAATCCCTCCTATCCAATCAGGAAATCCTCTTGGCTCCACCTTCAAAATATATTTACAATCTTTCCATTCATCACCCCCTGTGCCCCAGGTTAACCCACTATCATCTCTCACCAGGATTGTGAAGCAAACTCCCTGCTTCCTTCCTTCTTCTCATCAATCCTCAACATGGCAGCTAAATGATCCTTTAAAAACTTAAGTTATATATTGTCCCCACTCTGCTCAAAATCTCCTGACTGTAGAACCCATATCTGCCCTGTAAGGCCCTTTTCTAGCCACACTGGCCTCCTCAGCTATTCATAGGATACAGTGATCACACTCTTGCCTTGGGGTCTTTGCATTTTCTGTTCCCTCTGCTGTGAAAAGTCTTCCCCAGGTATCAGCCTGGCCTTGCTGATCATCCTTAAGCCTTCACCGAATACTGTTTTCTCAGTGAGGTCTATACCACCCATTTTATTTTAAATTGTAACCCTCTGTCTCTGTCCCTTAGTGCTCCAGAACTCCCCTACCATGTTCTGTTTTCAAGCTACTCTTCATTTCTACGTTTACTGCATAATTTACTTGTTTGTTATCATTATTGTTTGTGTTTATTTCCCTTTATCAGAATTAGGTCATTAGAGGCAGGGATCTTTGTGTATTTTATTCACTGATACACTGTTGTAAGGATCGAGGAATCAATAAATAACCGGTGAATGAATGGGGAGACAGGCTAACTAAAAACCTTGGGACTCTATCCATTCCACCCAGCCATAGAAATACCCAATCTCCAATCAGAATCCTGATATACCAAATACCTTTGGTGGCTACTTCTATTCACCTATACGCTTACTATAATGATGTTCCACAGAGAATAGTTAAATGAAAATCTCAGATCCATGTTTGTATTTAAATTAAAGTAACTGATAAGTAAAGTTATAGCAGAACCTAAAAATGAATGACTGTGTAGAAAAACTTATGCAAGAAAGAAATTTTCAGGACTGTTCAAAATATCAAAGAAGATTCTGTTTTAAATTAATAAAGTAACCTGGTGCTTGGCAGTTAAAGACATTTGGAGCAAAATGGCATTTTCCTGTTTCTTCAGCAATCAGGGCATAGTCCACCTGGCTGAGCCCGCTCACCGCTGGGAGGAACAGGTTCCAGAGGCCCTCGGCTTTGGCCATTTCCTGTCAAGGAGGTGAACAAGCGAAAGGGATCCAAACTTACCACAACCCAAAGTAACTTATTTGTGAAAGATATTGGTGCTTACGCTTTTCAAAATTTAAAAACATTTATGGAGTAATTTCTTTGTATTCCACAGTGTACAAAACCAAGTGGTTACTAATTCATTGTAAATCACTGGCTGTTTGGACCTCTTAAAGACATATCTTTCTTCTAGGCTTCCTTAGATTTCACTAAAGAACTAAATTTGCTTACTTTAGAGTTTCTCAAGAAATCAGAATTATCACAAAATTTCCCACATTTGAGTATAATTATGTCAAATGTATTATTTTATGCATTTAAGTTTCTTACATGTGTTGCCAGTAGGACCTGAAGACATGAAACATGGACTCAGCCCTTGTGGGGCACTGAGTTACACCCCAGCCCCCAGATACCCTGCTTTGACTTCAGCCTAGATTTAGTGCTGGCTGGTAACAAGTAGTTTTGATCTTACGTCTTTCTTTCTTTGAGCAGCTGAAGAGTCCGTCTTCACCAGCTACCATACACAGAGCACTATGTGGCCTAATTTATAGGTCATGAATTCTATTTTTTAACTTTCTTTTTTAAAAAAAGTTATTATTATATCAATGCAATTATCCTCTAGATATATAACAACAAAAATTAAGGTCTCCAGAAACACTTGCTTATGAATCTCCCGATGTTAAAAGCTTTCTGACTTTTCTTACCTTGAGTTTATCAATCACTGAAGGTTGTTTCCACACATCTGCTGAATTTTCATTTCGAACATAGTACTCATGTACCTCCTTCAAGTAAAGAAGGAAACAAAATTATTAGCTTCAGTTAATGCAGAGTAAATCGTGTCATAAATTGAAAATATCTAAAGTAAACATTTTTATGTGAAGAAACTTTTTAGCGGCTATCAGATCAGTAATACATCTTGTGTGTGTGTGTGTGCGTGTGTGGTGTGTGTGACAGCATTTATGTAGCCCAGAACTCACCATCATTCTCCTGCCTCCCAAGTGCTGAGTTTACAGGCGTATACCACCATATTAACATATCTTTTAAAAATCAGACACAAAATCATAAAATTCCAAAGGTTTGCTGCCTACAAAAATATGCTGCCTGTCTCAATATTAGTTAGTAATCACCCAGTATGGGCACAGAAACCCCTCAACTAAAAGGCCAGGCAAAACACTAAAAATAATTAAAGTATGTATTTAGTAATATCTGGCTCTGCTGGAAGGGACAGAAGTCCCTTGAGGCCAGGAACAAACAAGTTTAACTCTTGTTGTTCATGCAGCCTGGAGCCAAGCTTGTCTGCTATGGAGGCTGACCTATGTTAGCGAAGGCCTGGCTTTAATTGCCTACATGGGCAGGGGTAGAAGACAAAGTCAATGCCTGAAGCACAGCAAGAGGGAGGGTTGGGGGCCACCTCTTCCTTCCACCAAAGGTAGGATGCTTGATGGGTAAAACCTAAGTGGGAAAAGAAAGAAAAGAAAAAAAAAACATAAAAATCCTCATACTTCAAGGTTTTTTTTGTGGTACTGGGGCTTGAACTCAGGGCCTACATCTTGAGCCACTCCACCAGCCCTTTTTTTCTGATGGGTTTTTTTGAGATAGGGTCTCAAGAACTATTTGCTCGGGCAGCTCAAACCTCCTGATCTCTACCTCCTTAGTAGCTACGATTACAGACTCATCCAAGTTGGAGATCTCAACTTAAGACTATGTGGCCCTGAAACCTCAAGCCAGAAATTAAGTTTACAATGTTCCTGGTGACAGTGCCACCCAAAAGCCTGGCAGAAACAAAAATGAATCCTCTCTGGAGGAAAGCGCTTTAAAGGAAAGCCTTAAACAACTCTTTCAGATAAGATTACAGTCCAAGGAACATGAGTTCACCATGAAAAAAATCAATAATCAGGAAAATAAACAGGCCACCATGAGCAAAAATTAGCAAAAACAGTAATTCAACAAAGCTGAGTCACGTTTCCCAAAGAATCTAAATAATGTTCTCATAGACGATATACAATATTGTGCTCGGTAGATTCTAAGAATAAAGAAAGGACTTTCAAAGGTGACAAGACAAATCTGAAAAAGAACTGAATGCAACTCAAGGAAAAGAAAACCTACTGTTAAAACCTTGACAGCAGTGGTTCTCAAACATTGGCAGGTATCGTTATAACTTGGGGAAGTTGGTAGAAAAATGGGAGCACAGGCCCCATCCTACTTCAGTGAGCCTGAATTTCTGAGTTTTTAAGAGCACTATAGGCAATTCTTGAAACACTCCAAAGTTAGAGAACTGAGGTTATGTGGATGATTGAAAAGTAGATGAGAAACAATTGAGAAAAATTAACAAATTGGAAGAAAGACCTAAAGAAAATATTTAGGATAAAGTGCAGAAGTTCAAGAGAAGGGAAACACAAGTGAATAAGAGATTTGATGGACTCACAGAGAGGTTCTAACAGAATTGTTTTTGAAGACATAGATTAAAAGAGTCAATATTTAGAAAAATTATTCTTAGAAGTTTTCAGAACTGATCAAAGACACCAACTCTTAAATTCAGAAAGCAGAATGAAACCAGAAACAATAAAACTACACAACATCAAAGAGAGAGAAAAGCTCTTAAAAGGAGAAAGCGGAGGGGGAAAAAAGAAGATTAGTGGTCATTAAAACTGAGATCAACAAATGAAGCCAGATATCAATGGGATAATATCTTCAATTACTGGCAGAAAATGACCAGCAACCCAGAATTCTATATCCAATAAAACTATCTTTCAAGAATTAGGGTAAAACAAAGGTATTACCAAAAAATAAAGTCATTATTCCTCATCGCCCCAAAAGAGATAAAAGAGAAGTTTGCCATCAGATTCTCACTAAAAGAAACTGATTCTAGAAGAAATATCTGAGTTGCAAGAATGAATAATAAACAATGTGAAAACTAATTTGGGCAAATTTAAATTGAAACTCTAGATAAAACTATACCAACATCCACTTTGTCAACTAAAGGAAGTAAAGTACAACAAAAATATTGGACAACAATGGCATTATCCACTGCTTTGGAAATGCATTTATATTTATAAATATTTATAGGATCTCTATATCTCTTGATTTTTCTATACTAGATAGAATTACTGGGTTAAAGGCTTATGGGTATTGCCAAAACTCATCCATACTGTCAAATTATTTTCCAAAATTATTCTACCAAGATACACTCCTATCAGCAGTGCACTTAAGTGCTCCTTTTATTGAAGAGTCTACAGGACTTCTATATTTGATGACAACTTTGAGGAGACAAAGGTCTGAACTTTCGAAGGCACCCGGATGAATAGGTCTTGTCATTTCTGCCAGGAAGTCAGTTAAATTGGAAGATTTCCTGTTTGGGATTGTTTATTATTTCCATCCCTCATATTGCCATAAAAATAGTCTATGCTATTGTGTTTGGTAATAAATATATTGTGCAACACATTTACAATGACCTCAGCTCTGGCTACCTTCTTGTGACCCTACAGTGCTGAGAAATTATACCAGTGTTTATACAATTGTTTTGAAACATTATCTGTTGCTTCATATTCTAAAGTCCATCTATTTAGAGAACTGCAACATGTATTTGTGGTATTGTAGGACTCAGAATTAAATAAATATCTCATTGCAAAAGAATCTTATTTCTTATGAAAAATAATTTATTCAGCCAGGTGTGGTGAGGTGCATTTATAGTTCCAGCTGCTCGGGAGGCTGAGGCTAGATAATTGCTGAAGGCCAGGTAGAAGGAGCCAAGATGGCTGGCTAGAAGTATTCTTTGCACAACTCTGCCAGAGATGGCACAACAAAGAAGCTATGTTTCAAGGAGTGAGAGAGAGGGACAAAACTGGGAACCAATAAATAAGTGAGGGGATGGATCCCTAAACAGCATGGAGACTTGGAAAAATCAGAAAATATACTTGATGTCTGGTCAACCTTCCCAAAATCCCAACACTAACACACTGCTGCCTCAGTTACTAATTAAGGTGCTACTTGGGTTGGGTCAGAATCTTAAATCTGAGCCTCTAAATAACTTTGTAATTACTGTTTTTTTTTCACTTTAAACTTACGTCTACTAGAAAGAATCTACAGTACCCTGACCCTAGTACATTATTACACTCAGTAGGGAAGAATGTTAAAATTGTGTACTCCAGAATAGGCTGTTGCTAGTTCCTGTCTGACATGCTATTTTTAGTATTCCTGATCAACTTTAAATAGGAAGAATTGACTTTTTACATTTTCATAGATAATGAGTTATATTCTCACTATATACTATTAAAGGAGTTTCAAAAGGTCATAGAATAGTTCCATGAGGCTTATTTTTTCTCTTTATAGAAAATTTGCAAAATATACAAAAAGTCACTAAGAATCACAGCAGCAAAAGGTACATGATGTTAAAATTTTGGTGTATTATACAATACAACCTTAATTTCTAGATATGACTGTTTGGGTTTTTATAAACTCATAATGAGGCAGGCTAGAAGTAGGAAAAGTTTGGGGGGCAGGTAGGTTGCCTAGGGATGGACCAGACCACCCTCACCTGGCCAGGAACCACCATGTCCCTCCCAATCATTAATTATTGGCTAGGAACCTCCTCCTTCTCCCCTTCTGACAGGTTACCATAGGTTCTGAAAGCATCTGACAGGGAGAAACATGCTCTTGACCTGTGGCTTCCACCTATGCTTCCCTTTGTATTTCTCTTCCCTAACTTTTAATAAACTCCCTTTACACCCGTGTGTTCTGCCATGAATTCTTCCTGGTGGGATACTAAGAATTTGGAATTATTTTGATCACAGCCTGCACCAGCACCATTAACAATAATATTTGACTGAATTTTCTATGTTTTCGCCTTTTCTTTTTTTCTTTACTTTTTTTTGGTGGCACTGGGCTTTGAACTCAGGGTTTCATGCTTTCTAGGTAGGTGCTTTACCACTTGAGCCACTCTGCCAGTACCCCAACCCCATCCCTTTCCATTTTGAAAAAGCTATTTACTTTTCTTCAAGTATTCTTCCAAATGTGTATGTCCCAAGCCAAAGATTAGTATTATTCAGAACCAATTTTTAAGGGGTAAGACATTTTTACAATGCTGGTACAAGTTTTTAAAGGAAGAAAAGCTGCAAGTTATCGAAAATGGGTATGGCCCAGATTTCAAAGATTTGAAAGATAAAATGTGGCTTTTCTTACAACACAAAACTTGGTTAGTCTTCTCTTTAAAGCTCCGGGTTTTTTTTTTTTTTTTTACTTGCAAAGCATTTTCTTTTTTTGCAAAATCTTTATAGTATTTTAACAACTGCAGGATACTAAGTTCAGAGATATATCCCATCTCACCTGAGACCTTTTCTTTTGTGCTGCAATTTCTCTTGAATGCCTGTTCATTCACATTTAGGAACAAAAGGGCAAACCTGTAGGTTTGGTTTCCTCTGCCAATTCTATCCTGTGTTGTGAATACTGGGCTGATTGCAGGCACTAGCACACCAAGAGATTGGCTTCCTTTTAGGTAGGAATTAGACAGGCTGACAAGTAGTCCAGGGTCTCTACGCAACATCCCACCAGACAAGCAAAAAAAAAGCAAAAGCCAAAACACAGAGGGCCCTAACCTTCATTTTGAAGTCCTGGCTTCTTTGAAATAGATCAGTTGTTTTATTTTTCTAGAGTACTTCCATCGCCTTCTGATTGGGGCAAACACCATTGCTATGCAGGGTGGTGAGAGACCAAGTCAAGCAGCCCATCTCATTATTCTTCTGTTCTCATTCTTGCTCTCCTTACTAGCGAGAGGAGTCCACTGTGGACTAATGGTTACCACCCGTGCTACAGCCTGCTCTTATTTCAAACCTCTAAAAGATGTGGCTTCCTCTGTGGTGGCTCTTTCCTGGGTAGAAAACATTCTCTTTCAAAATCTAATTTCCTCTTTCTTTTTCAAAACTGTTAGTCATCTATTATGCCCTCCTGCTTTCCTGCTCTTACCAATTTATCCTATTGTCTTAAGACTTCTTTATTGTTAATTCAATGGGATTTTTATTTGAAGGAGGGGAAGGAAATATTGAATTTAGATCCTCTATTATGAACTAAAAGTATTGCATTTCCTTTTTAATACTCAAAAGTCCAGAGTTTTAAGTCCCTATATTTAACAAATACTAACTAGAGCAGAGAATATTCAGTAATATCTTAACATCTGGACAGAAGAGGTGACTAGTTTTTAGAAGGAATTTCCTCAGATTTAAGTATTTTTAAGAAACTACACCCCACTCTATTGAGAAATGTTCATCTCAATCAAGATGTTTACTGAAGATCTGAAAATTATTCCTGTAATTCAAAGATTAACATGAACTTCCCTATAAACCCATATCACTCTGAACATAGTTCTTAAAAGAATTTTGGTCTTTTTAATTTTCCTATTTGATTTTTGTCAGTCTAGCTCTAGGCCTCTCAGAATCACACACAATTAGAATGGGAATTTATTGCCTATCAAGTCAGACATAACATTGTAGGTGAAGAAATTCAGGCCACACAAGACCAGCTAGCACAAGACCATCCAGCCTGTGTCAAGTATCAACTAGGATCAAACCATTAAAATGCTCACACCATCGTTTCATGCTACCTCCCTTACATACTGTCATAAGAGCATGTATCTTCTTCACAGCATTTATTGTCTCTTATTTAATGTCCCTCTTTCTGGGTAAAGTGTAAACTCTCTAGAAGTACAAACCTGCCTATCTTGCTCTTTCTTTCACATTCAGTTGCTCCCTGGGTGCCTCACCTGTCATTAGGTACCCAATAATTTTTTTGCTAACTGAATGAATGATACACCATGTTGTCTCTCTGCTTTCCATGACCTTACTGGAAATGCACACCTTAAATTAGTAGCTCATGGAGGAATGGAGGGCCAGTATCTTCAAACAGTTTGAAATGATACGTAATTTCTCTGGGCACATCCATCTCAGGAAGTCTGTGGTTCTCATTACATTGAAAAAAAGAAGCAGAAAGTCACTACTTTAGGAAAAGGTATCCAAAGTAGAGTTTTACTCCAACATATTCCAACTTCCAAATGCTAAGTCCCATTGGCTTAGCTTTAGTTCCACAAACTTATCTGTTCATTCCTTTGGCATATTTTAGAAGCTTAGAATTTCCCAGGCTCAATTAAGGTAAGGTGGAGAATCTGGGAAGCACTGACTACAAAGGAAATGACACCATGGTTTTCCTATGGCAGAGACAACAGATGCGTTCACCTATGGTCCTTTAACAAACACACTGTGTACACAGTACCTTTTCAGCCGGCATGATGTGTTGTTTCATGAAATGCTTCACCTTAGCAAGAACTTCCTGGCCTTTCCTACTTTGTACGAGCAGGTGTCTGGTGGTATCAACCTGTGTCAGTGCAGTATTGAAAGTTCTTTGACAAACAAGAAGAGGAGGGGAAGAAGAAAAGAAAAAAGAATGGTTACAATTCCAAAATCATTATGATCTATTTCTGAAGATAATGAGAAGTCTCTCCAGCTAACCAAAACTATCTCTCACAAGGAGGTGCCATATTTTGAGGGTTTTATTTCTTTCTTCTTTTTTTTTTTTGCAGTGTAGATACCAAACCCAGGACCCTGAGAATGTTAGGCAAGTGCTCTACCTCTGAGCCGTGTCTCCAGTTCCACGTAATTTTCTGCTTTTCATATCACGGAGTGAAAGTAGAACCACACTCTCTTGGACATGAAACTTTAATGCTTAAAACACTATTTGGGAGAAATATAAGCTTAGCATGACCTCAACCAATGCTGCTTTGAACATCCATTGAAATCAACTCTCATAATCTCTAAAAGGAAGGAAAGGATGTGAACGCAAACATAATCATTCTCTCAGGATATGCTTCACAAATACATTGCAGGATGCTGTGAAGACCTTTACAAATCAATATGGAGAACTCTGCTCAGAAGCTCCTAGACACCATCAATAGCTACAGCAAGGTAGTAGGATATAAAATCAACATAGAAAAATCACTAACATTTCTATACACTAACAATGAGCAAACTGAGAAAGAATGTATGAAAACAATTCCATTTACAATAGCCTCAAAAAAAATCAAATACCTAGGTGTAAACCTAACAAAAGATGTGAATGACCTCTACAAGGAAAACTATACACTTCTGAAGAAAGAGACTGAGGAAGACTATAGAAAGTGGAGAGATCTCCCATGCTCATGGATTGGTAGAATCAACATAGCAAAAATGTCTATACTCCCAAAAGCAATTTACATGTTTAATGCAATTCCCATCAAAATTCCAATGACATTCATCAAAGAGATTGAAATACCTACTGTTAAATTTATATGGAAATACAAGAGGCCACAAACAGCCAAGGCAATACTCAGAAAAAAGAACAATGCTGGGGGTATCACAATACCCGTCTTCAAACTATATTACAAAGCAATAGCAATAAAAACAGCATGGTACTGGCACAAAAACAGACATTAAGACCAGTGGAACAGAATAGAGAACCCAGATATGAAGCCACATAACTATAACCAACTTGTCTTTGACAAAGGCGCTAAAAATATATGATGGAGAAATAGCAGCCTCTTCAACAAAAACTGCTGGGAAAACTGGTTAGCAGTCTGCAAAAACTGAAACTAGATCCATGTTTACCACCCTATACCAATATTAACTCAAAATGGATCAAGGATCTTAATATCAGACCACAAACTCTGAAGTTGATACAGGAAAGAGTAGGAAATACTCTGGAATTAGTAGGTATAGGCAAGAACTTTCTCAATGGAACCCCAGCAGCTCAGCAACTAAGAGATAGCATAGATAAATGGGACTTCATAAAACTAAAAAGCTTCTGCTCAACAAAAGAAATGGTCTCTAAACTGAAGAGAACACCCACAGAGTGGGAGAAAATATTTGCCAGCTACACATCAGACAAAGGACTGATAACCTATATATATAGGGAACTCAAAAAACTAAATTCTCCCAAAATTAATGAACCAATAAAGAAATGGGCAAGTGAACTAAACAGAACTTTCTCAAAAGAAGAAATTCAAATGGCCAAAAAACACATGAAAAAATGCTCACCATCTCTAGCAATAAAGGAAATGCAAATTAAAACCACACTAAGATTCCACCTCACCCCTGTTAGAATAGCCTCATTAGCAACACCACTAACAGGTGTTGGTGAGGATAGGGGAAAAAGGAACCCTCTTACACTGTTGGTGGGAACGTAAACTAGTACAACCACTCTGGAAAAAAATTTGGAGGCTTCTTAAAAATCTAAACATTGATCTACCATATGATCCAGTAATATCACTCTTGGGGATATACCCAAAAGACTGTGACACAGGTTACTCCAGAGGCACCTGCACACCCATGTTTATTGCGGCACTATTCACAATAGCCAAGTTATGGAAACAGCCAAGATGCCCCACTACTGACGTATGGATCAAGAAAATGTGGTATCTCTACACAATTGAATTTTATGCAACCATGAAGAAGAACGAAATGTTATCATTCGCAGGTAAATTGATGGAATTGGAGAACATCATTCTGAGTGAGGTTAGCCTGGCCCAAAAGACCAAAAATTGTATGTTCTCCCTCATATGCGGACATTAGATCAAGGGCAAACACAAAAAGGGGATTGGACTTTGATCACATGATAAAGGGAGAGCACACAAGGGAGGTATGAGGATAGGTAAGACACCCAAAAAACTAGATAGCATTTGTTGGCCTCAACGCAGAGAAACTAAAGCAGATACCTTAAAGCAACTGAGGCCAATAGGAGAAGCGGACCAGGAAATAGAGAAAAGGTTAGTTCAAGAAGAATTAACTTAGAAGGTAACACACATGTACAGGAAATCAATGCATGTCAACTCTCTGTATAGCTATCCTTATCTCAACTAGCAAAAACCCTTGGTTCTTCCTATTATTGCTTATACTCTCTCTTCAACAAAATTAGAGATAAGGGCAGAATAGTTTCTGCTTGGTAGCAAGAGGTAAGGGGATGTAAGGGAGGGAGCGGGTGGATGTTGGAAGAAATGACCCAAACATTGTATGCACATATGAATAAAATAAAAATAAAAATAAATTAAAAAAAAATCAATATGGAGGCAAGCACAGCTGGCTGTGATGTTACAAAGACTACCCATATCCATCTAGAAGATGGAGTGTGAAAAACAGCTGTTCTAATGTTATGTCAGGGGTACTGTGACTAAAGCATCATGGCATTAAGTACGGAGAATGTGACTGGAAAAGTGTGTGAGATGCCTCAGAAACCATGGAGACATGGTTTTCACAGACACTTGATAAATGTCAGAATAAAATTTCATGAAATATGATGGTGAGAAAGAGCCATATTTCTAAATTAATAAATAATCTTATATAAAACATAATTTTAAACAGGTATATGTAAATAACTTAAATATTAGAAGGAAACATTTGAGAAATTTTCTTTTTATTATTATTTTTGGGGGGGAGTAGGGTTTGAACTCAGAGCTTTATGCTTGCTAGGCAGATGCTTTACTGCTTGAGCCACATCTCCAGTCCTTTTTGCTCTTATTATTTTGGATGTCGGATCTTGCTTTTTTCCCAGGCTGGCCTGGTCCTCAAATCTCCTGTTTTAAACTACCTGCCATAGCTGGGATGATAGGCCGAGCCACCACACCCAGCTTTTTTCCACTGAGATGGGATCTCACAAATATTTTTTGCCCAGGTTGACCTAGAACCATGATCCTCCCAATCTCAGCCTCTCAAGTAGCTAGGATTATAGGTGTAAGCCACTGGTGCCTGGCTTGAGAGTTTTATCTGTATTATGCATCCAACTATTAAAAAATACTTTTAATCATAAATATTGAAGCATATAGCAGATTTACAAAAAAAAACCCAAAACCCTACTGTGACTGGCAACAGCAATCCTAGCATAAATAATACAAATAATTCCTATCCCTTTAAAAATCATAATCTTCACGTAATTATTGTTAACTAAGTGAATGAATGGAGATGCCACATTGCCTCCCCATTCTGCGTGAACTTATTGAAACATACCCATTGAAAGCTTGAATTTGAATTATCCAAAGAATCTGTTTTCCTTACCTTCTTGAGAGTTGTAATCCGGTTTCTGCCAGAGGTTGCACAATATTGGCAAACAGAAAGCTATCCTCAGATGAATTATTTCCCAAAAGATATCTATTGTACACTCCCTGTAAGTAAATTAACATAGGGCAATTATAATTCATTGAAAATGTCCTTCAATCATCCAATCAGCCTTTCCAGTTTCTCAGCTATGTGGGGAACTAAACTCAAAAGGGAAAAAGTTGTAAATTATACTAGCAATGTTATAAACTTACATGAAAGTAAGTCTTACTCGTACCATGTACTCATATCATGTACCACTTTCATCCAGGCAGAATTGTCACAGATAATCAACCCAAACTTGAAAATGATCTCAACAGTTACTAAAGGAGCAAACCTGCAAACTCCATAATTCATCTCTAATAATCACCGTCTTCCCTTCACAATGGCAGTAAATCTAAAGAAATCAAATGGAATCAAACACTAAAATGACAGAGAAAGCAATGAGATGACCTCTGATATCTGATCTCATTTTTGGACCCATACTTTAGGTAAAACTGTCTCCTTAGGTGTTCACTGAATGTTAATCATTTTTTCATAATTCCCCATTCTGTACTTCAAATATAATGCACTCCCCTCCCCCAGCACAAACGACTACATTTCATTATTTTCTTTATTTAATAAACTACTGTAATAGTTTTTCTTTTTCCAGTTTTGTATTTTCAGTTACAATGGAATGCTATGATCATCTCTAAGGCTAGTACAATATAGCCGATGATGTACATTTTAATTTCAGTCATAATCTATGTCAAACTTTATTAGAAATAAAAGCCATTTTAAATTTAAAGCCTATTTGGTACCTGATTTGTGGAAACTGACAGACACAGAAGCTTACTCATTTTTAAAAACCTACTCATTTGACATTATCAACTTTTTTAGAATATAGGATGAGATGTAATTTAACTATTTCCTAGAAGACATTTCAGTTATTATGAATTCTCAGGACAGGGAAAAACTAGCATAATTTTCCTTATTCCTTCTTTTCTCATTCATTTTTGTCTCAAAAAGTCTTATTTACTTTTCTTCCTCTAAATCCTAGTCTTGATGAAGCATCTAAATTTCTTAAATCCTTTAGGAGTCAAAGTACCTTGAAATTAGATTAGGATAAAGAAGAAGGTATTTGTTTAGATGTAACTGGAAAAACACAATTTTATGCTCAATTTCCGCACACTTAATCACATAAGTATAACGCTAGAAAGTGGAAAGTTTTGTTCAACTATTCACTCTAAAACATATTAAGAAGCTGCTAAATGCCAGGGACTGTACCAGCCTCTGGTAATTCTTCCCTTGCCATCAGCTGTGGTTAATAAACAGCTTTCGGTCTCAAGCGGAGGTCACGAAAAGATTTTAGTTTGTTTTTACACTGGCTATTCAGGAACTGCAAATTCTCACATGCTTTGGTCTACTTTGTCATTATATGTCTTCCTCTCATCTTCTATCTTGCAAATTCATTATAAAAAAAAAGAAAGTGGTAGCACTAAAGTCCTATTCTATAAATTCTAGACTTGTATTTTACCTGTATCTGATACTGGTCAATCAGAAGCAAAATTGTCTAAGTGTAAAAAATATAAAAACCTTGAAGACCAGGAAATATCATTGATAGTACATTAGTATAATGGTGAAACATATGTTTAAAAAAATCACCTGTGCTATTCCAGCCAACTTAAAATATGAGAAGGCAAGAAAGAAATTCCAGTTGGGAAGATTAGGATTAATGCCTCTGCAGTGACAATATATAGAAATCAGTTCTTCCACTGCTGGTACTCCTATAGAAACAGCACATAAAATAAACTTTAATAAAAAATGTCATGGTGACTACTTCAAAATGTCATAATACAACATATAAAACATAACACAGCATGTGAAACAAAATATAGTAACCATGAATCCACACATGTTCTAAATATTGAACATGTTCTAAATATTGGAAATATTGCAGTATGTTATACACAAAGGATTATATTTTGTCATAAACTATCAAAAATAGGATGGTAAATTTAAAGTCAATAAATCAGAAACATTTTCAAGAAACAAAATCTAAAAATTACAAGATGATTATAGTATTTTACTTATGACAATAATCTAACTTTATACTAACAGCCATCTACACAACATTTGCTTTTGTACCTATGTTTTCTTGAATATGAGAACCTTGATTTATCATCGGAAGTGTCCTTGGCCAAAAGTAGAACAGGGAAAGATGAGCTAAGTCTGACAGAGGATGACCAATGGTTGACAGCTCCCAATCCAATACTGCTATAACTCGAGACTGTAATTTAAAAATAAAACAGCTAAAATAAGGAAATAGCAGAAACAGAATACATTCAAAATCATGTTTTCCTTCAGGAGCCAATATAAGGCCATATTTTCCAGTCTTTACTCATGTTGGCACGTCTCATTTATGAAACAACCAGTTCTCCTTGGCTGCATAGCACCAGGTCCTCTGGTGCTATTACTGGCCATCAGGCCTTCTGTGTTTTGCTTCACCCAGCCTTACTATCTCTAATATCAAGCAGAGCCAAAAGTAGGTGAAACTTCTCAACTGGGAGTAACTACGGTAAAGAATTTTTATATAATTACACATTTGCTCTGGTGATGAATCTAACTATAGGACAAATATTATACAAGCAGCTTGAGAGTTTGAGAAGAATGGAAAATATTAGAAAAAGTCATTTGAAAAAACTCATATATTTACTAAGAGATGAAGTTATAGTCTAGATAAAATTACGCAGCCAAAATTTCATGACCCAAGTTCCAGGACAGAGATCATACAAAGCCAAGGGGTAAGAAGTGTCTGGAGTAAGAAGTAATGTAAGGTCAGGAAACTTTCTAACTCTCACAATACACATTCACAGCTCAAAAGTTATTAATTAAATTGATTCCAAAGAAGGTAGCTTTTGAAGTAACTGGGTAAGAAGTGTGGCCCCTACAGGATAAGAAGTCAAATAGAGTCCTGAAGGAACCATGGAGTCTAAAGTAAGAGCAATCAAATTTGTAGCATCTTAAAGGAGGTGTGAAGAAGTAAAAGAAACCAGGTGTGGTGATGCACACCTGTAATCCCAGCATTCAGGAGGCTGAGGCATTCAGGGAGAGGGAGAGGGAGAGGGAGAGGGAGAGAGAAGAGCAGAAGGTAAGGTAAGGGGACATGATCAGAGATAAGGGGTTTTAATTTCTAGATCACTGAAGCTGACCAGTTCCAGTGGATGAGAAGTCTGCAGGTCTGAGCTCAATACCTTCTTTACCACTGTTTTGGACTGCCTGTTGTGAACCCCAAAAATCTTATGAAACTCTAACTACCAGTAGATGGCATTAGGATTTGGGGCCATGGGGAGGTAATCAGGTCATGTTGGTAGAGTCCTCATGATGGGATTAGTGTTCTTATAAGAACAGGAAAGAACTTGCTCTCCCCTCTTCTCCTCTCCTCTTCCTTCCCTTCCCCTTTCTTTGTTCTCCCTTCTCCCCTCTCCTCTCTCTTCTTCCCTTTCCTTCTCTTCTGGTATGACTTAGAAGAAGGCCAATTGCAAACCTAGAAGAGTACCCTCACCTGACATTGGATCTGCCAGCACATGGACTTCCCAGCTTCCAGAACCATGAGAAATACACTCTATCGCCCTGTGTTACAACAGCCCAAGCTGACTAAGACAACTACCATAGAGCACTTAGTAAAGATTCTAGTGGGTGAGACAAACATTTTAAAATACTTGTAAAAGTAGAAAGGTTAATAAAAAGATTCCTGTCTTTTCTAGCTATAAAATTAAGCTTTATAACTATGTTTTTCTTCTACTGCCCTGACATTTTAGAGACAATGAAGAAATAAAGAGAACTATACACTAAGAGTACAAGTTTTGGCTGGGGACATGGCTCAAGCGGTAGAGTGCCTGTCTAGCAAACACAAGACTGAGTTCAAACCAATACTGCCAAAAAAAGCAAAACTACAAGTCATGTTTTGTATATTAAATCATTTTTTTTCTTTATAAGCTTATCCATAAAACTCTGCAAAGCAGATAACTTCAGAAGAACCAGGAATACATCTGTGATCTTAAATATATTTGAATAATAATTACTGAATGCAGATGAATATCTTTGGCTTTATCTGTTTTTAATTAAATATTTTTGCCTTTCAAGTTGAGATGACAACATGCAGATTTCATATTAAACTCCCAAATCTTCAACATTTATCTACCAGGTTTTTATATTTGGAAAGCTCAGTAATATTTTCCAGGAAAACAGCTTCTTTTTCACACACTGGGGTGAGCATGTTGTGCTACTGAAATACTCTAGCGTGCTTCACATGCGTAACAGATAATTCACTGGGAACGACTGGGGCTTGAGTAATACATTGGTTTTGCCATACCCTTTAGCAACCTTTTACTGGCTCACCCTGTACATTCCTAGAAGGTTTGTCATCTAAAACTTGCTTTGGTTTTATTTTTTCTTAATTGTTGTGTTTTCTTCTCTTTTCTAAGAGAGGTTCTGGTATGTAGTGCAGATTTGTCTTGAACTTGTAATCCTCCTACCAGCCACCTGAGTGCTTGGATTATAGGTGTGCACTACCATACCAGCAACTGTTATATTCTCTGATAATGGAAATATAACATTGCTGTTGCTTAAAAAAAAAACCAACCTGAAACCATATAGAAATACACAATTACAAGTCTACCATAAGTCTATCCCTTCTAACCACTGATGGGGTTTTAGTGCGTATTATGAAAGATGTGCATATACCTCAATATTTTTCTGAAGAACAGAGCTTGACAGGGATCTTTGAAAAGCGGAATGGGAAAGTGGAGAAGAAAAGAATGGAAAAGAGGCTCACTGAAACAACGTGATCGCCAGTCATGTGCCAGGTAGCCGTGACTCACTCCACTCCGATTACTCCATTTTAGCTGCCTAGCAACCCTGAAATGTTGGAGGGTTTCCCCAACTTAAAAGACACATCGATTTGCTGGCTTTGATGCTGTACTACAGTTGTGTAAGATCATTTTGGGGAATCTGGATGGATATTCAGGAACTTTCTGTACTTGCTTTACAGCTTCCTGTGAGTTCATAATTATTTCAAAATAAAAAGTTAAAAGATGAGGCATAATTTGCTTTAAGTTTACAGTGCTACGGAAGGAAAAGTATAACTATATGGAACTGCAGGAATTAATCAGTGATTTATTCACTGCCATCAATTCCTTCAACATGGATTTATTCAGTATAATGTAAGCACCTGCTCTATAGAGAGAAGATAGGGCCACTGCTTTAAAGGAGCTACAAGGCAAGTTAAGTTTTGCCTCGTTGGGAATCTGTTGTACAGATTCTAGAGCAAAAGTAAGAAAAACAGGTTAAAGACACAATCCTCAGCCTCAAAAGAAAAAAAAACGTTCAGTCCTGACCATAGAAATATGGACAGGCGAGTACACGCATACACATATTAACCCCTGTAACTCTGGGGCTGATTTTGCAATTTGTGGCATGACCTCATAAACACAGAAAAATAGTCCAAGTCCTTGTTGGGAATTTTTTAAAAAACAGGTGGAAATGACACACTATTAGCTAAATTTACACTTTACAGTTTTGTAGCTCCTAAGGTCACCCTCAGTGGGCATCTTCCCTTCTCTGGCTGCTCCTGTAGCTTGCCTTGAACGATATGACAGCCTAACACATACAGTTCCCATGCTGTCTCCTGGGTATCTTCCCTCTCCACCTGTGTTTTAAACTCATTAAGAGGTATGTTTCCTTTCCAACCCATGTTTCAGAGCACAGAGTTGATAATGAACAAATGCTAGATGGCTTGGATTCTGTCAACAACTTTTATTGTCAAGAGGTGCATGCTTTAAAAATGTGTTAAATAAAATGAAATTCTGAAGTTGCAAAAAGGAATGGCTACAATATTTATTGGAGGCAGAAGTTGAGTAAATTAAACTAAAAATTATGACACTGCTAAATATAAGATAGAAGATATTTTTCTATCATATAACCCTAAAACATTAAAAGATAATGATGTATATTAACAAATTAGTATTGCAGCTAAATAATGAAAAGCTGTATCTATTATCAGTTGTTTCTTTTAAAAAAAAAATGCCTCTTCCAAACAATTCAAGACTTTGCTTGTCTGAAAGTAAATAATATCTGTTTGGCTCCTTTAATCCTATAAAGAAATGATTTTAAAATATGAGATCAAGTGTGAAAGGGGAAAACAATTTGATCTTTACTATAGTTTACCATTACTTTCAGCAAATTAAGACTAATCCTAAAATTTAAACAGCTTAGTAAACAACATATAATCCACTAGCGAATCTAAGTTCAGATTTCCCTTTACTTGCTTAAGCAAAGACTAAAAAGCAAACTGGGTGTGGTGGTGCACACCTGTGATCCCAGCACTCTGGAGACTAAGGCAGGAGGATCTGGAGTTTGAGGCCTGCCTAGACTGCATAGTGAGTTCAAGACCAGGCTGAGCTAAATAGCAAGACCCTGTCTTTAAAAACCAAGGGCTGGGGTGTAGGTCAGTAGAAGAGTGATTGCTTGGCATGCATAAGGCTCTGAGCTCAACCCCCAGTACCACACGAAAACCAAAGGGGGGAAAAAATCCCTATAGTTAAAGAGTACGTAGAGAAGTCTATATTCAAAGATAGGCTCTGAAATATTAGCAAATTAAAAGTATAGGTCAGAGAGCTAGGGATATAGCTCAGTGGTTAAGTGTTTGCCTAGCATCACCACTGGATCAATCCCCAGTACTACAAAACAAATATATACATATATATATATACATATACACACATACGTGTATATATATTTATACGTATGTGTATACCCACATACATATATATCAGAGACAAGCCAGATCCAGGTGTTTTATGTATAAGCTTCTAGAATTTTTCCAGATATAAGGTGACAAAATTAGAATTTGGAATCCAAATAAAAGGTTTACACACACACATGTACACACATGCAGTCACCTTTGTATGATGGTAGGGTTTATCATTTTTGTTACTTTATGATGGGACAAAGGCCATATGTATTCAGTACAATCCAAGTTTGAATTCTGAATTTTAAAGATCTCTTGGTAGCAATCTGTGGTTCAACACTGACTTGTGGTTCTGGACAGTAGCAGTGAGCAGCAGCTCCCAGTCAGCCACACCATGGCCAAGGTAAATAACCAATACTCCACAGTGCTCTGTGTTGCTAAACTATGATGTACAATAGGTTAGGTGTATCAAGTGTATTTTTAACCTACAACATTTTCAAATTACAGTGGGTTTATCAGAATATAACCTCAGTGTAATTTGAGGAACATTTCTGTATACTTATAACACATATAATTTTAATACCAAATTGACTTTTCCATAAAAAATTTTTCTATCCTGATGGTTCATGTATCCACATGTCTTAGCTTCTGAGATCAGATGAGATCAGGAGTATTCAGAGTGATATGGGCATAGACCCATGTGTACCTAAAATTATTTTGGGACTTAGAATTGATATAGCACTACTTTGAATTGGAACAACAGTGCAATTTGTAATGGTATTTTCCCTAGTACTCTTCCTGTAGGGAAGGAATATGAAACCTAGAAGTGAAGTACATGAATTTGTAGCAGCAATTCCTGTCTTAAACAAAATTTAGTGTTGTAAGAAAAACTAATGGAACCAGGAAATGCTCCTCTAAGAAGTAAGATTCAGGGATCTGTAAATCTTTGTATTCTTTACAATTCTTTTGAAGCCTTAAAGAGGCTTCTGAAATTCTCTTTTCTGAGCTTATGATAAACAAATGAATTCTTCATGACACATGACCAAAGAACCCAAAGAAATGTAAATGAGTCAAAACAAAGAGCAGGACATAGACAAACTGAATACATTAAGTAGTAGATGGAAACTTTCTTTGAAAACAGGGATACACATGTAAAAATTTCAAATCCTTTTTCAGTAGTAAATCCTATACCATTTAAGATTAGAACCAGCCATAGAGGTAGGCATCTAGCTTTGGTAGGAAATCTGCAGGGCGGATTTCTGAAAGTTTTGAGCATGAAGACCTTCCTGAGCTATAGGGGAAGAATGGGGCTGAGTTGGCTCCTTCAGTGCTGTGCTCTGGGGGAACAATTATTTAGTGCTTGTGTCTCAAATCAGACATACTTGATTTACTGTAAACATGCTTACGGCACCTCTTTAGGGTGGAAAATGATGTTATCTAGTCTGAAGTCTCCATGAATCAAGTTCTCCTCATTGTCATTATCTGGCAAGTTCTTCATTAGCCACTCAGAGAGCTGCTCCATGGCTGGGATGTCCTGATGAGCTGTGGCTTGATATTGCTTTGTCCAGACCGATACCTAAAGTGATGTATAAGAAAAATAGTAAGGGCTAAGAGTGGAATGCAAGATTCAGCAATTCTAAAATAAGATAAAATTAATCAAGTCACATTTCATTTTACTCCTAAAATGCTCAAGACAAAGGCTTGTAAGTTAAACTCATGGCAGCCTAAAATCTTAAACACTTCAGTTTCTCTTCCCACTAGCTAGTTCTATTTTAGCTACCTAACTTTTTATTGGGAAAAGAAAAAGTAGTGGTCTAGGCATCAAGAGATGTGTGTTATAGTTTTCATTCAGTAATGACTTCAGGGATGAAAAAAAAGAATACATACAAATACATACCTATTGACAAATGAACATCCACACTCATGGAAGAAACAAGTAACCCATGAAAAAGGAAATACTGAGTCAAGGAGGAGAGTTCTTATTTTTAATTTTAATATTCTTTCCTATAACCAAAGAGTCTCCTAAATATACTATAGGTAAGAGTAGTACAAAGACTTTCTACAGCTCTTAGACTTAAAAGAAAACAAATCTACTTATTCTCACAGACCTCCAAGAAGTGTGACCATATTATTTATCTGCTTATATCTTTCTTCATTTTCCAATGTATCTCTGTTTAATTTAGTGCAACAGAGCAAACATCTTCATATCTCTAAGTCTTACTGATCTACGTTTAAATTATATCAAAGCCATTTACTTGTGTGTTACCTAATCAGTGTAAACCTCACTGTTGTTTCCTCACTAGCAAAATGGGAGTAATAATACCTTGTTGTCAAAAAGATTAAAAAAGAGAAGATCCATAGGCTCAACTAGCATGCTAGCTGGCATGTAATGAGTAGTCTCTAAAACTCAGCTCCCTTCTCTCCTCAGTCCCCTCCCCAAGATGACATGCTTATAAAAGGGAATAGCCCCATACATATCCGATCTTGCTTTCTTCTGATTGAAATGGTCACTGTCTCCTCCCCACCACTCTAAATTCTCTTTCATTATTGCAAGACATATCTTTCCCAGGAAGTTTTCCATCCAAGTAATGACATCCCAATCACCACGTTCCTCAACACAGCTCTCATGAGGAACACCAAATAATTCACTAATAGATTATGTGTACTTTAATGCCATCGTCCAGTTTTGTGTATATAAGATTCGTGTATAGGTCTGTCAAAAATGACCACAAGTTTCTTTAGAGGAAGAACGTATTCCTATTTTCTATACTTTTTCTATTTTCTTGATATTTAACACAGTAAGGCTTAATAAACATCTACTATTACAGCTCTGAAAAAGGAAAACTGGATAGAGAATATATTGGTGAATTAAGTGAAGAATCTGAAACAGATGCCTTTGCCCAAAAAAATCCAATAAAAACACCAAATTATTTTATTTTAAAAGCAAGCCAATGTGAAGGATGATGTTAAAATAGCAAATTTTCAGAAAATTATATAATAAAAAATGGGGTTTTGACTAATAATGCACAGTAAATTATTTCTCAGAATCTTTTAAAATATGCTTTTTGTACAGATGTCTTACCTGTCTTTTGCAGTACCCAGCACCTATTCCATACCCTTCCAGCTGCAAAGACTGTCTATCCAAGGAATGTAGCCGAGCCAAAGTTTCTGTCATGGCCACATAGATGGCTGAGCGTTCCGCTTGGCTGACTCCAGGAATTGTGAAATCACGAAAGATTCGACCCTGTGAAAGGGATTACAATAGGAATTTAAATGTATGACAACCCAAACCAGTACTTCATAGAATATTTTAGAAACGTGTTCATTTGTGAAACGTGTAATACGAGTATACGTGCTAAAGGGAAAATACAAGGATGCGCCAAGATTAACTCAGAGGTGCAAATTACTACAACTTGAGTTGTACACACAAAAGAATTAAAACACAATTTGAGTTTATTCTTAATGGCTTGATCTTTCTATGTGGAGCGGGTTTCCACTGTGCCTTCTGGACAATTCTGATAGTGTCAGTACAGCTCTTTACTGACACCTAGAGGAAACTTCAAGAATAAGTCAAGGTGACCTAAATATTAAATTTGTTCCTAGTCCATTCCAGCCCTCCCTTATTGAGTGTACTCAAACTAAAACAAAATTTTAAGCTCCTGCAAATTCAATCGACTAAACATTGAATAAACTATATCATTTAAGAATATCACAATAAAATTTCATCTAATAAAACACAGTTAACTTCATAATTAAAAATAAAAGCAGCAAACAAATAAGATTGTTAACTTACTCTCACGTGTTCCATCACGTAAAATTCTGTTCCAATGACAGAGACGTCACTGCAGTACAGCAACGGCTTGGGAACGGGGAATCCAGTGGAAAACAAGGCTTTCTGAACTCTAAACTCTCTATCAATCTGAACAGGATCATAGATTATTAAAAACCAGACACAAAGAAATTTAGTAACTACTCATGAGCTAACCTTAACTAGGGCTAAATGTCATTGTGCAAAGATATTGACAAATAACCTAGAAGAGAATACTAAGAATTTTTTTTTTTTTTTTTTGGTGAGACTGGGGCTTGAACTCAGGGCTTCACACTTGCAAAGCAGGCACTCTACTACTTGAGCCATACCTCCAGTTAGTACAATCATTATAATTATCAACCATACAGCTCTAAAAAATGATCATTTAATGGGATAAAAGGATGGGGTTTAATCCTAGCCATGGTAATATGAAGGCAATAGCTTCTGACCACAATATTTCATAGGTTTTATTGTAAAGCATGACTTTGTTCTCATAGGTGTTCTGCTCACTGACTTGCTCTCGCCCTTCCACATCTCTCCCAAGGGGCTCGGGCAGTGTTTCTTCTGTATCAGTCAGCTATAGGGAGCTGGGGGAGAAAAGGGTGGTGGTAGGAAGAGAAAAGCTCCTGCCCCTTCTGGAGATGAAGGGAGGCACATATTTCCAAAGAAGGGGTATTGGGCCTTTCATGGTATCCAGGGCTACTGTGGAGGGCAGGATATCTAAATGCTATCTACCAGTAAGATAGGCAACTAGAAGCGAACTGGTACTAAGGTCAGACACCAAGTAATATAGCAAGAGGAAAATGGCTTCCTCCACCAGGTCTGATGTACAGACCAAAGACCCAGGGCAGAGCTTTGACGCAGACTGAGGCAGTGGTGACTGGCTGTTTCTAAGAAGGGGAACTATACAGCTTGCCTTGTCATCAGGAATTAAAGTAGCGACCGCTGCAATAACTGGAGGAGGAAACCAACTAAAGCCAAGTCCAAGGTGAAAGGAGCCAGGGGCACCAGTGACTGTAGAAAGTAACTTTTATAACTACCCTGGTGCCAGGAAATGAATGGAAAATGTGAAGGGGGAGAAAACAAAACGGTTAGGGAGACATAAAGTGGATGGCAAAGTGGGAACCCTACTTTTTCAATAAAGATTTGGGGAAAATCAAGGAAGTTAAAACAAAGTACTCCAGATTCTTGGAGCTGGACTTGTGCTAAGAGCATTTTGTTGCATTCTAATGGGTTCTGGTAGAACACTATCAGGAAGAGAAGCAAACAGTGCTTCTCTTATTGTGACATAAGTGTCTGGATATAGATGGGACTCTCCTTCAGCCATGCTCTATTGAGATTTGATAAGTTACTCAGCTTTTAAAAAATCTTAAGCATCTAAGTTATTTTATGTTTCTGGGAATTTGCATTTTTCTATTACTGTGATAATTTTAAGTCTACCCTACAATGGTCCTTCCCCAGTGAACTGGGCCTGGGGAGCTCCTGTTAGTCATACTTGTAATAACACCCTAAATATGAACAGTGTTTTCAATGATACTCTCATCTCTGCCCTCTCCTGTTCTCTAAATATCCATACATAATACCCAATTTTGCAAACAGGAAAGCTTAGTTTTTTTAAATTGACAAATGATATTTGTACACATTTATGTACTTATGAGGTACAATATGATGTGCATATATTGGGTACTGAACAACTCAGGGTAATTAGAAAAACTTGTTTTTGAACAAAAGAGGATTGCCATAGTAAAAATAGTAAAATAATTCAGCAAGCAAATGTTGTCATTAGATGTAATAATTTAAACATCTAGAGCTGAGTAGCACTGAAAATATCCACTGGCTGATTATATTTCTAGCCAAGTGTCTAGGAAGAATCAAATCCACTAGAAGACTGAGTTTTACTCAAGATTAATAGTTGAGGGCTGGGAATGCAGCTCATGGTAGAGCACTTGCCTAGCACGCACAATGCCCTGCTTTGAGCCCCAGGGTGGTGGGGGTGAGAGAAGAGGAGAGGAGAGGGAGGGACGGAGGGAGGGAGGGAGGAGGAGAAGGAGGAGAGAAAAGAAGAGAAGAGGGAAGAGCAGGAGGAGAAGACAGAGAAGAAATAGTCTAAAGATAGCCTTAGATTTCAATCCCAAATTCTCTTTTTTTTAAAAACAAAAGGGCACCATTCAAGTGAATTTTTAAATAAGAAATAAAATGCACTTCCTACCAGCTAGTAACCATAAGATGATTTTTAGAAGCAATTTTAATTGCTCTTGTGTTCATAAAGGCATTCATCCGTCACCAAAGAATTTATTATATATCTCTGTCATACCTTATGTGCCTTAGGAAGAAGTGTACCTGGTGGTTTTTTCCTCAGTACATATGCTTGGAAGCCCTTTTGGAGATAAAAGGTTGGATTCGACTGTCCTGATCTAGGTAAAAATAAACAAGAAAGGTCAATTAAAAGATATGTTTACTTCTTCCCCAAATTCTACTGAAATGTCAGAAGAAAGAAGAAATGAAAATAAATCCATGTCAACGTTGGAAAGCCAGCAGGACTGCCAACAGAAGTCCTACCAGAAGCTCCTAGGCAGTTCTCCCAGTGGTGTTCAAACAGACAGTAACATACTTGCACTGAAGAATCTACAACCCACACAGGCAGAAGAGAAGACCTCACCCTTTGACTGTACAGCATGTTTTATCACAAGTCCCTCGGGAGCAATGCCTAGATCTAAGCAAATAAAAGAGACCGTAGGTGATATGATGGGTCAGAAGGGAATTACAGGAGGCTGGAACAGTGGGTTAGTGCTCTTCGTCTGTCCATAAAGCAATAACCCCACCAGTGTTTCCAATGCTAGCATCTGAGTACAGCTCTCTATAGAGGAGAGCCATGTGACATCTCAGAGCGGACAGCTGGGCCAGGGAAGTATAACAGAGCCCCAGGCAACACACAGATACCAAGGCATTGACTTTCCCTGCCAGGTGAACAGAAATCCTCCCGTCGATTAAGGATATACACTCGAAATAACAAAACTATTTATCTGTATTTTCACTTATAATACCGACCAAGTTTTAAAGAACCCATTAGTACAACAGAAAGAAGCAAAACTGAACAAATAGACAAATCAATCCCCAAAACATCAGGTAATAGAGGAAAGTGAAAAAAAATCCTTGAATTTTCTTCCCAGAACTCCACCCTTTACTGGGAAAGAACATGAGGAACTCCTGAGCACAGTGGCTCACGCCTGTAATCTCAGCTATTTAAGAGGCAGAGATAGGAGGATCATGGTTCAGAGGCCAACCTGAGCAAAAAGCATCAAACTATCTGAAAATTAAATTAAAAGCAAAAAAAAAGTGGGGGGCTGGGAGTGTGGCTTAGGCACTAGAACACTTTCTAGGCGCTAAGTGTACATGTTTCTTCCACAAGCAAATATATTCTCCCCAGTACTCAGAACAAAGAGCACTGATCTCAACATTGCCTAATGCTGTGTGGGTGTCTTTTAGTGCAGAAAAGGAGAGACAGTGATTGTTGACGGTCAGGTATTGGGATCTTCTCAAGCTTTGTTGTCTTTATTGACATGGGGTAACTTTTCTGTGATATTGCAAGATTCAAGTGACAATGAACTTTACAAACACATCTTTAATGCCCAATGTCTGACTGGATGGGTTAATAATGAGACCATTCTTCAGTCATATCATACCAGTCTTTCATGATGGTAAATGACCTGGTGAAACATAAAAGGAAAACCAAGAGCTTCTTATTGAAGACAGAATTACCATGTGACCCAGTAAGTCCTCCCCTATGTATATATCCACGAGAATCTAAAATACTAACACATGCAAGAACATGTACGTGAATGTCCACAACAGCCAAAAATTGGAAATAACCCAAATGTCTTTTCACAGATGAAAGAATCAACAAAATGTGCTATAGCCACAGATGGAGTATTACCGGGCTGTAAGGGACGCTGGTACATGTGACAACATGGAGGAGCCTTGAAAACACTGTGCTAAGTGAAAGAAGCCATACACATTATGTTGACTGCACTTTCGTGAAATGTCCACCACAGGCAGATCCAGAGTGACAGGAAATAGATGAGTGGCTGCTAGAGCACGGGGTGGGAGGAGGGAGGAGGGAATTGGGAGGTATGAGATGTCCCTTGGGGGTGACAAAAATGTTCCAGATGAGATAGTGGTGCACAGAGATTACACAATAGTGTGACTACACTGAGAACTGAATTATGCACTTTAAGACTGTTAGAATTATGAATTTTATGTTACATGAATTTTATCTCAAAAACAAGAATTTAAAAAACTAAAAGCTTTTCTCCTAAGCAAATACACCATGGTTCTAACAAAGATATAAATAAATAAATAAACAAACAAACAAATAAATGCAGAATCCCACCTGCAGTATCGGGTTATTACCAACACTGTCAGCACAATCCTGCCAAATTTAACCACTCCAACCATCAGGCCTCCAAACAGTCTGGAACCACTGAGGATCTCAATGTAAGAATCACCAGTGAGCCCACAGCCAAAACTATTACTTAGGACTTGGGTAATAAGCCATTTGGTGCAAAAAGAAAAATGTTGATCTATAACTTAAGAGGTGGCATTTTTACTTTTCTAATCTCTATGAATAAAGACAGAATCCTTACATTTAGGTGTGCAGCTAGGGACACTCGCTTTGTTGGGGAAGATTTTGAGTACACCTCAATCTCCTGAGATCCTAATAGGCCACTCTTCACATTGGGTCACTCAGAAGAATATAAAGATGAAATGCGCCATGCAGGCAGGACAGCATCAATGAGTTTCTTCAGCAGAGTCTCACAGTGACCCAGGCAGCAGCCTAGGGTCTGCTCATGTCCACTATACCTCCACAATGAGATTCCGAGGCAAGGAAATGAGAGCAGGCATGGGGTACGCGTGAGAGCTGCTCTGGCTGAGAAACCCGTCTTAGTTCACTCAGGATGCTGTAACAAAATATCATGGACTGGGTAGTTTATAAACAACAAACACTTCTAGCTCATATCTATCTTGGACCTGAGAAGTCCAAGATCAAGGCACCAAAAGATTTGGTGTCTGGTAAGAACTTGCTTTCTTATAGATGGTGCCTTCTCACTCTTTCCTCATATGGCAGAATGGGCAAGGCAGATCTCTGGGACCTCTTTCATCGCACTAATCTCTGCCCTCCTGCTCTAATCATCTGCTAAAGGCCCCCCCCTCTTAATATCAAATTCGGGGGAGCACAAACATTCCGACCACAGCAATGCTTCACGCTCCAAAAGAGCCATTCTCTCTAGCAGTAGTCTTTTTGGGCATAATTTCCAGTGCTCTAGCAAGGGACATGACCAGTTGCAAGGACTCACTACAATTAGAGAAGCCCAAAACCCCCAACTTCCCAACAGATACAGTTTATTTACAGACCTTCCAGTCCAGATGCAGTTTATCAAGTTAAATGTTGGTAATCTATGCTGGCAGCTATATAAGATGCCATCTTGCCCCTTGCCCAGAGATAAATTTGCTGATCCTCTATATCACTCCTTTTCTTTTGGTATGGATGCCACTGGTGGAGTCTTGACTATTCTGATCAAATAATACTACTGCCCACACCAAGCAGCCTCCGACCATCACCATCTGCTCTGAAAACCAGTTTTGTTTGTTCATTCAGGTTTGTGAAATCAAGTGAGCAATGATGAAAATGAACAGCCTGCAGGCATTCCTCCTGCATCCTTTGGCTTTTCACAGGCTGAATTTTTGGTATTAATGACAATAGCATCTCAAACATGTTTGCTGTAGAAAAGATAAGGAAAAAAAAAGATTATTAAAAGTCGAATGACACGATATGTGAGCATAGAAAACACCGAGTATAGCATCCAAAGGGCATAGCACAAAGGTGAAGATGAGAAGCAAAGAGGCAAACACTCTCTAAGAAGTCTCTTGGATTCTGTGCATAATAGGCCATAGTGGAAGATGAGAGACATCACAGATGAAGCCAAATAGTTGGTACTGGGGTTTGAACTCAGAGCCTGGTGTTTGCTGGGCAGGCCCTGTACCACTTAAGCCATACCCCCAACCCTTCTTGTTCTTCTCACTTTTTAGGCAGGGTATTGCATCCCCCCTCCCTGTGCCTCCTACTTAAGCTTCCCTCCCATAGCTGAGATGACAGGTGCACACCACCGGGCCCAGCTATTGGTTTACATGGGGTCTTGCTAACTTTTTGCCTGGGTTGGCATTGAACTGTAATCTTCCTAATCTCTGCTTCCCAAGTAGCTGGGATTACAAGTATGAGCCACTGCACCCAGCCAAAGAGAAGATTCTTGACAAGTACAATGGAATAATCAAACAGCTGGCCAAGAATCAGATTATTGAGAAGGAAGAATTTAACATCCACAGAAAGATCTGGAGAAGGTCCAAAACCCCATAATATCTCAGTGACCAGAGAGAGCAGGTACCATCCTAGGGGCTTTGCTGGGGGCTTCTCTGGACGTAGTTGTTCTTCCCTTTGGAGGTGCCCCTTCTGGAATCATGACTACAGACATAAACTAAGCCACTCAAAACACAGCATGTATCTGAATATGAACACGACTGTGAATTTTAAAGGACTGTGATTTTGTAAGAAGTTATTTCAGTGGCATTTTAAAAAAATCGGATTTGAGCTGAAATTCAATATTGCAATACAGGGCCAGGCACAGTGGTTCTTGTCTGTAATTCTAGCTACTTGGGAAATAGAGATTGGGAGGATCATGGATTGAGGCCAGACCAAGGGTGGGGGGTGGTTAGCAAGACATTAACTCATCAAATAATCTGGGATGGGTATAGTGGTACACAGCAGCACAAGACCCTATCTGAAAAATAACCTAATGTAAAAAGGGCTGCTGGTGTGGCTCAAGTAGTAGAGCTCTCAGTTCAAACCCTGATATTGCAAAAAAAAAAAAAAAAGTCACTAGATATTTTGAGTCCCTGAATATACACAAGGAAAGGATCTACCTACAGCTGCACTTTATCCATATGCTAAGTAGAAAGTGCAATTCATCATAAAACAAAGTATTTTAAAATTGACATCATTTGAAAGAAAAAAAGTGACCCCAGTGCACTTGGTATGAGACTGTCCACTTCACTACAAATACCTACTGACCCCTTCCTACTTGTGGCTACTCACTGCACAGCTGTCCTAAGACCACCAGAATTGGTCACCTTGTGTTCCTCACCCCTATTTATGTCATTGACTATTTATGTCATTGACACAAGAAGTCCCAAATTCCCCCACTTGTCCAGCATTATAGTTCCCATAAGGGTTTGTACATTTCCTGTATTGTTCTCCTACCTAACCTCCTGACACCCTTCTACTGTGTCTCTGGAACTCAGCCTTCTTCCTTCCTCCCTCCTTCCTCCCTCCTTCCTCCCTCTCCTTCCCTTCCCCTCCCTC